TCACACTGTCACAGAATACCAGCGTAAAATAGCTTACTATAGTATAGTAGAGAACTGGATGTTTTTACTTGAAACGAGGCATTCCATTATAGCCGTCAGGAGTAACAGCTCATTTGCATTTAAATTCGTATTCGAAGATAGATATAGATGTCTGTGGGTCACAGCATCCACTTATTACCTTCAGGTGGACTGTGGAAAAATATTCCATGTTCATCGCCAAACACATGGTATATCATTTAGTAAGTATTTCACCCACAACAGTTTCAAAAATCTTCATCAAATATTTATTTTAATAAAATAAAATTTAATTTGAAATTATTATTTTTGAATGCGAAGTGGGATTATGTTATTTTAGATACAATTTAAAAAAAAATATATTTTGTTGTTACTTAGTACATAGAAACAGGGCTAAATAAATTTATATATATAATAAAGCCTCTATTTATGAACAGCCGCAAAAAATTATGTTTGCAATTTTTATGAACTTACGTTATCATACGTTATTGAAAAAATAAATGCTTAACACTACTACGAATTTAGTTAAAATATTTTTATCGCGCTTAATTATTCATAAAAAGTTGCAGCCTATCAAAAGTTCACTGTTGAACATAGTCGTTTCATCCTCACATGGGAGATTTTTCCATAATTGCCACGCTTGGCAGGAGGGTTGGCAACCGCATTTTAAGACGAAGTTCCTTATCGCATGGTACGAATTTGACGGATGTGGGCTAGGCGAGAAAAGTGTAATATCGCCACGATACCCTTTTTAAAGTGCGAGCGAGATGGAACAATATCCATCTCACTCGCACTTTTTCTTATCTCGCCATGAAATAAATATTATTTTAAATGACGCTAGTAATTCATTATGTTCATTCATTCAGTATCTGATAATCGATAATATAATACGTTTATCAATAATAATATTATACGAAAGGAACTTCGTTCCAACCGAGTGTTCCACGACACTCACGCATGTTTTTTTAATTATATTTTATTATATATATATATATATATATATATATATATATATATATATATATATATATTACGCCACCACTATACATCAATACATTTTAATTATTCACCCACTTTAAATGAAGATGTTATAAAAGTAATAAGTATTTTAATCTTATTTAACACAAAGTCTACAACGTTAATTCACATTTTCCATTACATTATTCAGATTTTTTAAGTTTAAATATTACACTTTCACAATGAATGTAATATATCACAATAGTAGTATATGAGAAAAGTATAAATATTATTAAAATAATATATATAGGTAATTTGTACTTGTGTCCAAAATCATTTAAATCAGATTATATTTTTATATTTATGTAGTAATTGTTACTTTATTTCATCAGAAATAAAAGTAAACAGCGTTCGTTTAGTATGTTCAATAAAATTACTAAACGAACTCAATGTCAAATTATAATTGCCAAAAATATTTTCAAAGCTCGTTATTATGACACCTATAATTTTTTTTAATAAGATCTTAAAACATCACGCAAATTTAATACATTTCATCCTTAGGTTTAAATAAGATGAAAGCGAAATAAATTAACAGAATTACTAATAATTTAACCTGAATTATTAATAAGAACGAAAATAAATAACTTTCACAACTCCCCGTTCCTACCGCGTTTAACTCTTTTCGTAATATTCTCTACAACTAACAACGTAATTTAGCTACGTTCAGCGTAGTCGGCGTCGTAGCCAATACTGACTACACTGTTGCTACGGAATAACGCTCTACGCATAACACTACTTAATTGCGCCCCATAGAAATTTTAATATCAGTATTTATATTTCTTCCAAATGTACATAACAGAAAAGGAGAATCCTCAAATAATTTAATAATTTTCATATAATATACATTATTCATCATTATTTTTCGTCATAATAATAAAAATTGTAGATATACGTAAAATTTTTTATGTGTAATTTTTGTAAGGTCGTAAATAGATACTCTAGGAGAGGGTTGCACTTTGATTACGAAGCTACCACTCGCACACTTATCTTTCCTATCGGTTGTCGGTTCTTCTAGTTTATATATTCTGAGTCTTTATATAACTGATACTGAACTTTACTACGGATTCTGTCACACAGAGAAATACCGAGCAAGGCCCTGTCCTCAGCTCGCTGAGTGACCTTAAGCTTCCTTATATGTTCAGCAATAAAGGACATTAATAACTTTAGCGTAGTAGAGCAGCTATATTAAGATTGTAGCGCGAATAGGTCGGCTCGACCGGGGAAGGACCACGCTCTCACAGATGACTAGCGTAAAATAGCAGCTTAATTCTCTTCATACTCACCATACAAAACACTGTGTTTCCGAAGAGACCCTTTTAATTGGAAACGAGGCATTCAATTTGAGTCCTCAGGGGTGACAACGCAACTGCATTTTGATTCTTATGCAAAGATAGATGTAGATGTCCAAATGCCTCAACATCCACTTACCTTCGGGTGGGGTGTATACTCGTTAATCACTCTTATACTATAAAAAAACACTGTCTCAGATCCATAAGTCGTCATATAGTTGCAAGTGACTAAGGACCGTGTTTTGTGACATTCCTTGAGGAAGTCAATTGTTTAGCAGTGAAGTTCTGAAGGGCTGTAATGGTAATTATCATAATATGTAATTCTTATTAATCGATACTTTTTAAATTAGCAGATTGACAAACGAGCTACTACTGCATCACAAGGACACCTGCAACCAACTTTAAAAAAATAAGGTTACAGATAATGTATATGGAACCCTTGTGGACTAACCTAGATGCCTTACATTCCGTTATTAAATAATCTCACTTACTATCTACTGTTTCCTACTCTCCGTGCTGCTGCTTGGTTCCAAAAATAGCCAAAACGGTAGTTTTTAACGTGAGTAATACTATGGTGGCAGCACGAATGGGTCGTCTGTAACCGCGAAGAACCACCCTTTTGAAGAATACCAGCAAAAAAGCAGCATTTTTCTGATGTATTCCGTATGGTGAGTTCAAAGAATCAGATCCCTTTTTTTACCGGCAAACAAAAATTCTATTTTAGTACTCATGGATGGCAACATATCTGTAGTTTGATTCTTCAAGTATGCATTACAGCCTCTAAAATTCCACAACTCAATATAAGTCTACTCAATAGATTGCCTCATAGGGGAGATTTCGCTATTCTAGCCAAGCTTGACAGGTGAGTTGGCAACCGCAGTTTTTCTATTATTTTGAGTTGTTATCAGGAAGATGCTGCCCCATCTCCTGTTTCAGTTTCCCTTTGTCATCACGTTCGTAAGAGTACGACACACGCAGCACGATATGGGCTAGTCGATATTCTTACACCACCACTACACGGCAGTTTTATTCTTAATTGATGATAAAAATATGTCTATTGTTATCAGGACCTGATAGTAAGTACTATCAGGAGGATTATGTACCTCTTTGTTACATCTACTTCTATGAAAAATATAAATGTTTTAATTTACATAATACACTATCATCAAACAATTGATTATTATATTATGTATTCTAATATATGAAAAATAATCTTTGTATTTTCGTATTGTATGCGCTGCCATACCGTTCATCAGATTGCGATAATACTTTTTCAACTCATTTCTTGTACTTGCGCGAAGGTTATAGGCATTATCCTACTGAAGGCATATATCATTCATTTTTAATGAAGGTGTTATGATTCCTAATTAAACAATATAACCCTTCCAAATTTAAAACGATATTTTCATAATTATTTATTTTGTGGCAGCAATGAGCCGAGTGCCAGCTAGTATGTGTTAAGAATCTTTAATCCCAATGAATACTGCGTAATGTACTTTATCTCACCGTGGAGTGGCGGAGTAAGAGAATCCTCTACCCCACATCATTTCGTGAGTGCTGAAAAAGGCAACAGAGGAAAATTAAGCAAGAAATAGGTATCAACATATTCATGATTTACAACTCAATATAATAAAACACTGTGGCTATAAACCCGCCTGCCAAATTTGACAACTAAAGTACTGACATTTTCTATTGACATTATGTTAAAGTTTTATAATTACTTATTTTCATACGGTATATTCTTTTAAACCATATTACTCTTCCACATTAATTTCGTTTCTGTTTTTTTCTTTACTTATTAATGAATGGGTCGTTTTTAGAACATTAAAATTAAATTCAATATTAATACTTATGTACACTAACTTTATAGTAAAGTATGGATAACGGTGTTATTTGTATGATTATTAGGCATATATATAGTGTCCCGTTTAGTGTAAAGATTATATTGTACAGTTGTTTGTGATCCCAAATGAAGAGAAAAATGCAAAAATCCCTCTTATGAAACAATCTATGGGCAAAATAAGCAAAAAGATTAAGACATTAATTTAAAAAACCCTACTGTGTAAAAAAAACCTTTTATCTTTATTTGCAGATTTTAGAGATAGAGTTTATATTTAAAGTAAGAAAGAAAACTGATAGGAAATAGTGAAAGTAAACATTGCACTCTTATGGGGAAGTTTTGAAGATAATCGCTGTTTTATTTCCTAAAGTATCTTTCACCACGTAACGAAATATAGTCCACAAATGACGATAAGACCGGGACCACTGCAAGAGGACCCGTAATCTTAGTCGTCTAACCTTTCTTTTCAGAAAAAGCAACAGACGCTCTCTTGTGACACTTCTTTACGTGGTTCACATCCGCCTCGTTGTTCCCGAACCCAACGTGGTGTGATAAAAGTTTCGGGATAGAACGTCTATGAAAGACTAATCCATATCTGATTGGACCCTTTCAGTTGAGGGACTGCATCTAGAGCGAGCTGCCAACCTTTCAATTGGTTACTCCTACACTTTGTTACTCCCACAATTAAAATTAACCTAACTACATCTCATATATTAAAACCATCAAGCCGTTTACGCTGCAGAGCGTGCCATAGAAATAGACATACATATAAAGTCTCAAAAAAATTACACGGTATTGTTTCTCGACGTGCAATTTAATTCGTAAAATGTTTTCATAATTCAAGAACTCAAATTATCATTGAAATACCGAATAGTTATTTGAAAAGATTCCGTCCGTGGATACGTCGGCTCAGCGGCCAAGCGCTTGTTAGATTATTACAGACAATAAAATGAATAGGTAGTTTATAAAACTAGCTTACATTAACGGACACATATATTGATTGATTTACTTAGAAACTTAAATTTTGTACACCTTAAAAGAAATATTAGATTTTAGAAACTTAAAAGAACCGTGGATCTTAGTCATCATCATCATTATAACCCATCACAAGTCCACTGCTGAACATAGACGTCCCCCAGGTTTGTCGCAAAATGCGGTCCTGAGCCACCTACCATAGATACAGAAAGACGGTGGATACCCCCCGTCTTTCTGTATCTATGACCAGTTCCACATTCTACTTTGTGGAGTTACGAGTTTCCCAATCGATTGTCAATTCGTAACAGTGGGACTACTTTGTTTACTCTGGTACTACTTCGGATATCCTCCCCTCTCACAGCTTATATAGGCGATTACTACAATTCTTCTCATCACGTTTACCTCAAAACTCGAAAATAAAAGTGTACAACCAGTGTATGTGGCGAGTGATAACTTATGGATCTGAGACCTTCAATGTTGGCTGTTTTTATTACATACTCATTGTAAACACAATTAACTTTCAATTAACTTTTTTTAAACGAGCACACAGTCCACCTGATGATAAGTAGTTGCTGCGGCTCATAGATATCTACACCTATTCTTGATTACGAATCAAATTGCAGATGCGTTGTCACCCGTGAGGATTAGGATGTAGTGCCTGGTTTCCAGTAAATAGGGTCTCCGGTTCTCTAGACTCACCATACGAAACACAGCAGAATTAAGCTGCTTTTTACGCTGGTACTCTGTGAGAGCGTAACGTGGTCCTTCTCCGGTCGGGCCGACCCATTCGTGCTACAACTATACTACTAATATAGCTGCGGCATGGCTCTATCACGTATAAAAACTGACTGTTTCGTTGGTTTAGTTGTCGTAAACGCGGTTGATAATCATGAGGTTTGAATTCCGGGTCGGGCAAAAATCAGTTATTAGGTTTTTCTGATAAGAAACTCTCAGTAGCAGCCCAGAGTCAGGAAAATGGCGGTGTTTCACGTAAAACCGTTGTTTAGGCCAAATAATTAATATTGTAAAAGCTTGGATTCAAGACGCGTGTCTCGACGCTTTAGCCCGATGGAATTTAAAGGTCAGCTCTGGCCCCCTCTCTCGAGAGGTTCTCTCGGCTGAGGGCTCAGTCGCTCGACGCGTGACGAAGTTAGTATTGTTTGCTACCGTTAGTAAGTTGGGCGCGGCCAGTGTCAAGTATTGTGCGCGTCTACCAGCAATTCTTTTCGCTCACGGACGACTTGATCGAGGCGGGGGCCAAGTATGCTAATGAAGCGCGTGAAGCTCGGCTTAGTGGCCTGCCCGAGTCCCCTCGGAAGCAGCCTACTCAGCCGGAGCTGTTGGGACGACTCCCAACTCTGGACCTGCCAAGGTTCTCCGGGGTCCTCTCCGACTGGCTGACCTTTGTTGGACTTTTTGATAGCCTAGTGGACGTCCGGAGGGACTTGACACCAAGCCAGAAGATGGCGTACCTCCTGGCCTCACTGGAGGGGGAGGCCCTGAGCGTCGTCGGCCATTTGAAATTGTCGGACGACGCCTACCAGACTGCCCGGGATCTCCTCGCCGGAAGGTACGCCAACGTCCGGCGAATTGCGGAGGAATACGTTAGGCAGCTACTAAACCTCCCGCTGCTTAGGGACCGGGCCAGACTACGTCCGGACATCGTAAATCCAGTCGTGGTGGCCTGTAATTCGTTGAGGCGGCTGGATTTACCGGTGGACGAATGGTCCTTTTTGTTGCTCCATATCGTGCTGTCCCGCCTGCCTCTCGACCTTCGAATCCATTTTGAGGAGAAGTACGGCGGGGACGGCGCTTCCTATATTCCGCCCTTCAGGGACCTGCTGCGTCGACTTAAGGGTTGCCAACCAAACCGTGCCCAGGGAGAGGCGGAATCCTTCGGGCAAGTCGGCGCCTACACCCCTAAGGCCGAGCGGAGCTCCCGCGAGAGGACGCAGCCCCCTACCATCTTATAGCGGCCTAACGGCCAGGGAGGCGTCCCCTGCTCCTATTGACGAGCATCCGATCATCGGGTGACATCGTGCCCGAAGTTGTTGGGTAAGCCGGTTCCGGCGAGGCGAACTATCGCCAAGGAGCGCCGCTGGTGCTACTCGTGCTTGGAAAGGCACCTCCAACGGGACTGCTGGTGCGGCCCTGTCCGCACTGCCAGGGCAACCACCATGCCGTCTTGTGCCTGGGTGCGAACGGCACTTCCTCTCGGGGCTCTGCCGGGCCCTCGATTCCCACGGGCGGGGGCATTCAGCCACTCCCTCTGTCGGGCGACGCTCGGCGCTCGCCTGCCAGCCACCGTGCCCCTAGGCTTGAAAGGGGTCCCTCCCCCGGCCAGTCGGGGGTCGTTCCCCCAGGGGCGGGGAGGTTGTCGCCCCCCCTTACGGCCACTCAGTGGTCAGCTAGGCCCTTCTCACCCCCGTTAGCTGAGTGGCCGCGACTGGAGTACCCCCTCCCCCCTTTGGTCGGTACCGGTACTACGGGGTTCCTGCGACCTCGAATCAGCCCCGTTTCGAGGACCGATCCGATGGAGGCAGCCCCAGCTAGGTAGCTGCCGCCCTAGCTCCCACCACGGCCGCCTCCACTGATCTTTAGAGCCGTCAACAGTCCACTTATCAAACTGTTCTATTACCGACGGCCTCAGTGAAGGTGTACAGTCCGAGTGGCGATTGTTTAACGGTTCGCGCTCTATTGGATTCGGGTTGATAACGCTGTGTGGCCTCCACTTGGTTGGTGGGAAGACTAGGCTCCCCTGTAGCTTTGAATCATGCTGTCAAAGAGTATTAGATTTGGTTTTGTTCGAGCACTTGATTATTAAAAGAAAAAAATGCTTTGGTTTTTCCACGAAATGTTTTGTAGTTATAGTGGTTGTGAGTAAAAAGGTGAATTTAATATACTCTTTGAATACGAGTACATACTAGTATGTTTGTAATATTTGATCATTATGTTTGCTTTGTTGAAAAGAAAATTGAAATTGAGTAACACTGTTTGTGCCGAAAAAATGAAAATCAATCCTCTCTTTTTATTCACATTTTTGTTGGCATTGTCAAAGATATTTATTTTGATAAAAAAGAATATGGCTATCTTTTATGTTTAGCTATTTATAATAGTTTTGAGTATTGATGCTTTTGAAACTTGGTTGAAATATAAGCATAGAACTACATGTTTAAAAAAGCTAGCTAGTTAGGATATTATCAGATTGGAATCAGCTACTGCACGGTTGACTAAATGGTTATATAGTAGATGGCTTGATTATGTCTACTTGCGTGAACAAAATCATACTGAGGCCGTTCATTTAGAACTTGTAAGTACCCTTAGCACTGAAGCCTTTGTGGCCACGCTGGGCCGCTTCGTATCGCGTCACTGTTTGCGGACCTGATCCGGTCTGATTGTGGAACGAATTATAAGGGGCACGGATAGATAGTTGAAAGAGGTCGTCGAATTTCTGTCCAGCAACAGGACTTGTTTAGGTGCTGCGATATCCAGAAAGAGCATCCAGTGGAGGTTCGACCCTCCGGATTACCCACATTGAGGCAGTATTTTTGAGGCGGTGGTTAGGGTTGCAAAAGCGCATCTCCGTCGCGTTATTGGCGAAACTGTATCCGTAGAATTGAGGCGGTACTCAACTCTCGGCCCTTCTGTCCCCTCTAGTCCGATCCGAATGATTTGGAGGCTCTAACCCCGAGCCACTTCCTGATTGGTTAGCCGCTTAACGCCCTGCCCGAGTACCCCGTCAGAGAATTAAACTCATCGCGGTTGAGCAGATTTTACTGCTGCAACAGATGACTCAGAGTTTTGGCACCGATGATCTCTGGAGTACCTACATCTTTTGCAGCAGTGCGTTAAGTGGTCTGACAAGACGGATCCTCCTCGGGTTGGAGACCTCGTGTTGGTTAAAGAGCCCAACGCTTTGCCTTTGTATTGGCGCCGTGAGCGCATTGTTTAGTTGTCGTATGGATCGATGGATGGAGGAGAATCGGTCTTGCAACGTGCCGTCGCGACCCTGTCCCGTTTGCCAATTTACTCGCGGACATAAGTCCTTATGTCCGGGACGGGGGTTTGTTTAGGCCAAATAATTAATATTGTAAAAACTTGGATTCAAGACGCGTGTCTCGGCATTTTCGCCCGATGGAATTTAAAGGTCACCTCTGGCCCCCTCTCTCGGGCGGTTCTCTCGGCCGAGGGCTCAGTCGCTCGACGCGTGGCGAAGTTAGTATTGTTTGCGACCGTTAGTAAGTTGGGCACGGCCAGTGTCAAGTATTGTGCGCGTCTACGAGCAAGTCTTTTCGCTCACGGACGACTTGATCGAGGCGGGGGCCAAGTATGCTAATGAAGCGCGTGAAGCTCGGCTTAGTGGCCCGCCCGAGTCCCCTCGGAAGCAGCCTACTCAGCCGGAGCGTTTGGGACGACTCCCAACTCTGGACCTGCCAAGGTTCTCCGGGGTCCTCTCCGACTGACTGACCTTTGTTGGACTTTTTAATAGCCTAGTGGACGCCCGGAGGGACTTGACACCAAGCCAGAAGATGGCGTAAACCGTTAGTAAGTTGGGCGCGGCCAGTGTCAAGTATTGTGCGCGTCTGCCGCAGTGTCGATAAGACGGAATTTACTATTGAATATTTGGGTCTCGTTAAGACCGCCTCGAATTGAGTTGTCTGTTTTGAGCGTTTTAAGTGATAACGAGGCTTATCCTTGAGTTTTGAGTTATTAATTTGGCTTCAATTGCCATTAATTTGCGTCGATGAGTTGTTTGTGTGGCATTTAATATCGTAATAAGAGAATTTTCCTTGTCGGGCGGAATGCAAATACTTTGTGTCCCGAGAGAAGGTCGCGTTCGTATTCTATTATAATTTTGTGCTAAGTTAACGTGGGACATTGAACTTTGACCGACATTTCTTAAGTTGAGCAGTGTGTCACTTGTTTTGGGTTC